ACGGAAATGGCACACTGGGAAATGGGAGTCTGAGAGGCAGGGGGCATCCTTGAGAATGCAAGGCCCTCTAGGATTTCCCAAAACTGTGGCATTCCCTAAATGGCAGCTCAGGGGAGTGAAGTGGAATCTACCTTTCATGTCACCGTTATACATTATCTATGCTTCATCACTCATATATACGGGATCTCCTTATATGTCGCTGTATTTCACACTGGCATCCCTGATAGGTTATATGGGGACTTTGGTTGGGAGATATGAGGGTTATGTAATCACATGTGTTTCGCCATTAATTAATATTTCTAGTGAAAGTGAACACTTAATTCCTCTCCGTTGCCTCAGGAAAAGATAAAGAAAAGGCCAGACCTTCAGGCCTTCTGCAAACTATACCCTCGCTTTCATCTGAACCCACTGCAGGATGCAGTGCAGAAGAATTCAGATACGGTCAAATGAGCATTCACCCCCACAAAGAGAAAAGTTAACTTGCCAGTTTCATGGCAGAAGGTACATGACTCCTGGCCCGGAGACAAAGACTTTATCACTCATGGCACAGCCTGCAAATAAATTCCATGTTCCCGTCAGTTCTTCTTCCCTCCCCTCCTCACGTCACATGGGGGTGACACAGAGGTGGGTATGGGTGGATCCTGCACATGCCGTGGATTTGCATCACATGTGAAGAACCCCAAGTTTAGGGAACTCCAATCTTTTATCAAAGGCTGCCAACAATCTGCCCAACCTTTGCCCAAGATGGAAACATCACGCTTATTATACTGGACATCAAATAATCCTAGCTTCTGCTACTTCTTGCTTTCCAAGGCTATTCACTCTGCATTCTTGAAAAGGTAGTCCAGAACAAAAGACTGTCAGTATATCTGCTCAAAAGACTTTCATCAATATAAAAGATTAATGGAGAGTTGCCTCTTAGCCAGGAGCTATCCACATAAAGGAGACCTCACAAGTATGTGCTGGGTGGTAGAAAGAGTTTTCATTAAGAAGAATAAAAAGGTGATAAGATTCCTCTTCCTCCTGGAAGACACCTTCCTTTTCTTTTGTTCTTTCTTTCCATGTGGTTAATAGAATCACATGACCTCCTGCTCAAGAGGCAACTCAATCTTTGAAAGGCTTTTGAATACCACTATGGGGCTCAAAGGAGAAGATGTATGGAGTGGCCAGCTTAGCTTTTCTGATTCTTTAGCCATTGAGGAGAAGGGTTTTCTTTTCTGTGGGATCATCATTCCAGGACTCTAGTCACTGCCACAGTACTAAGACCAAGAATTCAGGATTCCCGTACAGGTTGAAATGAGAAAGGCCAACCAAGAGGGTCACTGAGCTGCCTCTGGCATAGAAATTATGCTAAACCTTACTAATGATCCAAAATGGGAAATAGAGATCGAGACCAATGCCCTGGCCAGTAATAAAGTAGGATTTTCCTGGAATAACCTCTGTGCTTATATGATTTAGACAGCTGAGGTAACAGCAGGCAGCTGGGGGTCAGTTGGAGGATTCAGATCCCTAACCATACCCTGTTGTGACAAAAGCCCTCATAGTATCCCATTCCAGCACCACACCTGGACGTCCATATCCAGTATTTGTTTACCTGCCTAATTCATTGCCACACCAGTTCTTAAACAAATCACTTTCACACGTTCAAAAATCTCTAGGAGACTCTTATCTGCCCTTGTCTCAAGTCTAAACTCTACTACCTAGTACCTAAGGAACACATTAGTATGTAATAAGTGGATTTAATTTTTTAAAACTTTCTTCTAGGAGCTGATTGCCAAATTTTTCTAATTCCTCCCAGACAGAAATAGGACTTAATTTTAGGTCAACTAAACGGTGACTCAGGGTTACCCCAAATTCTAACCTATCAACAGTGCTTTCTTTTATTGCCTTTGCTTTCACTTATACAAACGCTTGATGCCCTTAGAGTTTGCGTCCCAGTCTATTACCTGGTTCCATGCTGTTTTGTACAGGACAAGTCCCCATTATACAGAGTCCCTGTTGATTATAAAGTTGTGCAAGAAAGCAAATTACATCACAACATAAAACTATTCACTTAGGATCACATACAAATATAATTTCCAAAGGATATACTCCAAATCCATAAAAATGATTACTTCTGATTAAGAGGTGAAAGGGAATGGGATGAAAATGGTGATTAAATGGGCCTTCAGGTTTATTTATAATAGTCTTTTGAAAGAAGAATGCATTCGTGTTGAGGTAGATTGTTTCCAAAGATGGCTACAGCAATCTCCCCCATGACACTGACCCTTTCTCATGGGACATTGCTGTTCCTCTCATAAAGAGGGAGAGCCTATTTCCTGCCTCCTTGAATTTGAGTTTAGTCTTGGACCAATATAATGTGATGGAAGTGACAAGGGGAGAGCTCCACAACCTCGTCTTCAGGGATCCTGAAGCTTTTGCTTCCAATCCCTGGAAATTCTGAGGCACCATGTGAAGAAGTTTGGCTTCCCTACTAGAAAGATCAGAGGAGAGTCCCTGGAGGCTGAAGACGGAGAGAGAAATCCCAGCAGTCTACTCAATCTAGCTAAGGAGCCAGACATGTGATTGAGACCATCCTGGAATCCATTACAGGTGAATGAGCATGCCTAGTGGAGGTGATCCGTTCTAACTGAGCCCTGCCGAGCCAGTCACAGAATTATGAGTAAATAAAGCTTGATTGTTGTTGTTTTCAGTCACTGAATTTCAGGCTGGTTTGTTACACAGCAATAGAAAATAGTTCTGTTACTGGAGTTATTCAAAATTACTTTTAAAACATAAATAATCTCAAACTTTTCTTCCTGTCTAACAAGCTTCTCTCTTTTTCCCACCTCAACTTCATGTCTCCAGTGTCTCCACTCATCTAACTGATGATGCAGTATCTAACAAGGCAATGAAAAATCAATGCAAATCAATGCAAAATCAGGGCAGAGTGATTAAAATGTGAAATTGAAAATCTTTCAAAATACGTAAGAAATCATGAAGTTGATGAAGGTAATGTTAAAGAAACCCTTGAGTCATGGACAAGTCCTCTGACAAATGAGAATCTGCAGCTGGAACAGTTAACATTCGAAGAAGAAAAAACTACGCAGATGATGGCACAGTAAGTGCTTCAAAAGGGAATGATTTGAATGGCAAAATTGAAGAGAGGCTCCTGGAAAACTGATGGAGTCCTCAAATATTTTTGCAGTAATGACCCTTTTTATGATTTGCCCGCAGAAGTCAAATGTAAAAGGACATTGTATCATGATACCGTGTAATTTTGTTAGAAAATTATGCTGCTCAAAGTCAACACTCGATTCATTCTTTGTTCTAAAAGTTAACATAACACTGACCAACTAAATTTTGTTAAATGTGAGTCAATTAATTTTAATAATTTTCTTACATTGTTTAAAGATCAAGTTTCAACCAAATCTTTCCAATTTTTTAAAGATTTTATTTATTTATTTATTTATTTATTTATTTATTTATTTATTTATTTGAGAGAGAGAGAGAGAGCACGCATGAGCGGGGAGTGGGGGGCAGAGGGAGAAGCAGACTCCCCCTTAGCAGGGAGCCCGACGAGGGGCTGACCTGAGCCGAAGGCAGACATTTAACCAACTGAGCCACCCAGGCACCCCCAAATCTTCTCACTTTCATTATCCCTATTTTAACAGATTCATTTTAAGTGGATTTGGGGTACCAATTATCTGAGGAAACTAGGGGTCTCTGTAAAAATCTTCAATTCGTCTCCCTAAGTAGCAGGTGTAGCCTGAGATCATGCTTTACTAACATCCCCTGGAAAGTTCCTCAAACCTAAAAGTAAGCAGATAGTGGGGACTCACAAATTCAGTAAATGTGACAACAAATGACCCACTGATTGATCGGCTTGCGTGTAGGTTTTTCCCACTGAAGAACGGTGCTTTTCCATTATCCATCCCTCACCCAATAGGAGATGGCATTCGTTCTTCTCAAGACTGTTCATAGCAGGCCTATTACAAACTTCCTGCTGAAAGCACTCTGAAAGGCTGGATACATTTAAAACCAATTCAAGCATGTAAAGTCGTTTTAGGAAATAAGCCCCGCGTCCCAAGGGCTCAGCTGAGGAGGGCCGTGTTTCAGAACAGGTGTGCCACTTCACTGAACGGGAATTTGGAAATGTCAAACATTAGAAGCACTTCAGAAACTCCGACTCAACCTGCCCGACAGTTACACTTGTGGGCACGTGTCAATAAATGACTCGCAGAGATAGGTATTTGAGAAAAGCTCTCGGCACAGATTCAGAATTCGCTAAGCCAAATCAGCATGGTAGTTCTTAAGGAGACTACACCTTTTTTTGTCTTGTTTTTTCTTTTTTCAGTTTTACTTCTCAAAAGAAACTTTATATTTTTTAAAAAATTCACCTTCTATTATGTGATAACCAGTACAAAACAGTACAAAACAGCGGTGCATGTTTTCACATTCCTGAAATTCAGGCTTTTTCAACTTCTTTTGCACACCCAGTTGCAAGAGTAATAAGCATTGGGCTGTTTTTCCTTGTCATTATCGGGGTTACTTCCATTCCTTTGGAAATTAAAAACTCACAATACAAGCTTGGCTGCAAGTACCCTTTAAACGTGGCGGCCCCTCCCAGGAGGACACCATTCCTCCTGCAGCCCATCAGTCCTTCTAGGGCAAATGCAAACAATACTTTCCGTTACAATAAACTGTATCCAGGAAAACACACACACGCACACGCGCACACGCGCGCGCACACACACGCACACACAGACGTGCTGTGTTGCCTCCGTAGCATAGCAGCCTGAGAAAAGTTTACTAGCTTTAGCCAATTGGAGGCTGTGGAGCTGAGCCAAATTCGCATGTTTTTCTCCGCCTCTAGATGAAGTCATGATTAAAACATGGCATTGGACTTCTTTTATAAAGGGATAGAGGAGGAGGGAAAAAAGCGACACCTGCAGGAAAGTGCCCCCGTGCCAAGGAGCACGAGGTTAGGAAGTGTGCCCCTGCTTCTGAACCCTGAGTGGTTCTCAGCTCTGTAAACTTCGCCTCCCACTGGGTGGAGTAGGGCCTTTAAGAGCAGTGGGAATGCAGTTCCCCTGATCAGTGTAGCCAGTTGTTGCCTGTCTGAACCTCTGCCAGTCCTGGAGAGCAGTGCTCTGAGCTCAGGCCAGCGGGCCTCTCTCTGCAGCCCCACTGCCGTCCTTCTTGCCGGAGAAGCACGTTCCCACCTGTCCAGCCATGGGGGAGGACCTTGCACAAGCTGAGAAGTTTCAGCACCTGGGCTCTGCCACGTGGCAAGAGAAGCCAGCCAGCCCCAGCCTAGCGCCCTCCTCCACGCCGAGCCCCAGCCTGAACCTGGGGAGCACCGAGGAGGCCATCCGGGACAACGCGCAGGTGAACGCCGTCACAGTGCTCACGCTCCTGGACAAGCTGGTGAACATGCTGGACGCGGTGCAGGAGAACCAGCACCATATGGAGCAGCGGCAGATCAGCCTCGAGGGCTCCGTGAAGGGCATCCAGAACGACCTCACCAAGCTCTCCAAATACCAGGCCTCCACCAGCAACACGGTGAGCAAGCTGCTGGAGAAGTCCCGCAAGGTCAGCGCTCACACCAGGGCGGTCAGGGAGCGCATGGACAGGCAGAGCGCGCAGGTGAAGCGGCTGGAGAACAACCACGCCCAGCTCCTCAGGCGCAACCATTTCAAAGTGCTCATCTTCCAGGTCAGTGCCCCCTACTCCTCCTCCCACCCAGCTGGGACTCCTCAACACTCGTGATCTCAGCCAGCCTGGCTCTCATGGCCATTTGTACATCTGTCCTGCCTGGCAGGGATCTCACACACACACACACACACACACACACACGCACACACGGCGTTGTCTCTCCCCCCCCCCCCCCCCACCCCCATCCTCTTCAGCAGGAGGCTGTGGAATCTGCACACAGGGCTGGAATTTCTCAGGTCACTGCAGCCACAACCCAAGGCAGATGCCCCAGGGGCTAGTAGGCCGGGGTCATTTGTTAGGGAGCACCTCGAGGCAGTCCATACAGGTTGGGAAGGTGAGCAGGTGCATGCACCCTAGTCCAGTTCATTTGCCTCTCTGCATTATGAACTAGGGGCTTTGACTGCAGCTGTTAGCTGGACAGGGCATATTAATTCCGTGGCTGTTGATTAACTCTGTGGAAATGAGATAATCACGTGAGTTGATTTTTTTCACCAAGAAGTCAAATTCATGACTGTTTTAGGTGTCTCTTTGGCTAAAAGCTACCAGTGTTTGGGGGACTAACCAAGTATTGAAGGCTGATTCCATTAGAGTTGAACTCGTCTGTTCAAGATTCCTTTTGGCCAAAGCAGTCTTTGTTATTTTCTAGCCACTGATGCACTAAAAATATAGAGGGTAACTCTTTACAAACGCACTAGGTAGGCGTCCTATCACTCAGGGAAACCACAACTGGAAAGTAAAATACAAGCAGTGTCATCAGTTATAGTTACAAAGGCTAGTCTTGAATATTTTCTCTTGTAAATGGTTGCCTTAGAATTAACAGGACACTTAATTTTTTTTTTTTAATGCATCAATGATGCAATTAATGTAGCAAGAGGGTATCTGGGGACAGGGAGATTGCGTGGGGCTGTTGTTCGGCCAAGTGGCGGGCGTTTGTGAATCCAAGGACGGCCCTGCCTAATGCTGGAAGCCCTTCGGCCCAGTGGAACACAGCCAACGGCAGAGCCCAGGAAGCGACTGCCATCCCTGCCCCAGGGCTGTCTCCTTGTGACCAAGTGAATAGGAGAGGATTTCAAAGCCATGGAGGGGAGAGGCTATAACCAACTGTTTGATTGTGAAAGGCACACAAGAAGAGCCTTCATCTCCCAAGGGAGATTTAGAAATTGGAATTTAAACCGAGGGAGCCTTCTTTTTTCTAAATGAATCTGCTCTGCCAAGTTAGAACCTAAGCCTCCTTCCCTCCATAAAAGGAAAGGCTCATCTGGATGCTTTTTTGTCCTCCCCAAATTGCACTTGATGTAAAGCTTCAGGCAGCTGATGTCCTCCTATACCTTGCAGACTCTTGCAGCCCAGACATTTTTTAGCTTTTAATGCAAATGGAATAGCTTTTCATGCACCAGATGAACTGAAAAGAGATACGGTGACGGCGCCTTTCTTAAGCCATATAAGATCCTTACTTTATTAGCCTAAAAGATATTAGAAATCTCAGCTCTCAAGGCATTTCTAAATTAAATACTGATCTCCAAACAAAACCAAACATGTACAGACATGTTTAAATCTGAGTCGTCAAAGAAAATTTTCCTCCTTCCCATATGAATCGGGGAGATTATCTCTTGTCCTCTATCCCTTAGTTAAGGGGGCGGGGGAGGTACCTAGCAGAGGAAAATCATAATTTGTCAGGATCAGTTTATGTTTCATTTTGCCACGGATGTTCTGTAGATGTTGGGGGCGGGGAAGGAGAAGATATGTGACTAAAAATTCAAGAGAATTGTAACTCTGAAATTTAAAAAAAACAACGGTTGGGGAACTTAAAGACTGGGGCTGCCGTTGAGCCCTACCACAGTCTCCTGTTTTGCCACATTGGATTGACAGGTGTGAAATTGTAGCCAGAAATGGTAGCAGTTCTCCATATAGTGAGTAAAAGGTGAAACAGGGGTTCTCAAGAGCAAGGTGGAAGCTAAGAGAATCCAAAGCAATGTGTTCAGGCTCCATTCTGCACCTCTTAGCAAGCTGCCCCCAAGGACCCTTTTTTTTTTTTTTTTTTTTTTTTGAAAGAACAGTTTGGGAGACCAGGAACTAAAGTCAAGGAACTGGACCTTTCTTAAGCCACGGAAGACGCTTTAGTAGCCTGAAAGATATTAGAAATCTCAACTCTCAAGACATTGTAAGATGATTATTTCGACAAAAACACATACAGGTGCAGTCTCTTAGTGGAAGGGTTGTTCTTTCTCTTAAAGTAGGGTCTCCAGGGTAGTAATTATGCCAGTGGGTGAACTTCTGACTTGTGCTAGAGAGTGCTCCAGTTTCGGGGTTGAGAAGCTCTGTTTTGTCACATAGACACTGGTTCATATTCTAGTTTCACTGCTTGCCAACTATGTGATCTTGTGCACACTTTGTAGCTTCTCCAAGCTTCTGTTTTCTCATCTGAACCCTGAGGATATTAATAGGAACAAAACATTGTTGAGCTCTTTTAGTAAGCCCTGCATGCTCTAAGTGTCTTTCTGTGTATTATCTCATTTGCCCCCAATTTACAGATGAGGATGCTGAGATTCAAAGATGTTGCTATCTTGTTTGACGTTATTTGGTAAGCAAGCAGTGTGGCCGGGATGGGAACTCACATGTAATTGATTCCAGTGTGTGCTCTTAAACATGAAGGCTTCTTCCTTCCTGCCTCTCTTACAGGGTGAGGGGTGACTGGAATAATCTATTTAAAATGGTTGGTGACTGGCATGGTGTCTCAAGGAATAGAAGCTCTTCCTGGGTGTATCTGAAATGCATTTGCACAGAGTGGAGGCTATACTTTTGCTTGGTTAGAAATATGGCTCTTGAGTAAAAAATGACCCCACCCTACCCAAGACCTTAAAACAGCTATGCTTATGCTTTTTAGTTGGGACTTATTTTGCTTATGCTTTAGTTGGGACATTGTATGACAACTATCATGTTGAAATCCGTATTATGTCCCAACATACCATGAGAGCAAAGGACTCTGCCCAAAGGGCCGGCCCAAAATAGACCCTTCTAGTGGCAGCAGTCTTCAGAGTGGCAGAGGGTGGGTAAGAGAGTAAGGAGGCAGATAATACACCAGGTACCGCATTATAAGTAATTTGTCATTTTCAGTCCACTCGAACCCTATGCTAGACTTTCCTTTACTAAATTCATTGGTTTTCTAATTTAAAACAAAAAAAAAATTGATGTGAAATTTAAAAAAAGAGTAAAGAAAATCTGTCGCTTTACTTGAGCATATTTAGTACAGTAGTGTTCAGACAATTAGGTTTCCAGTTTGTAAAGTCCTGTTGTCCTCCAAAATCTGCAGGTGCTCTTTGGTTGGTCACTCAGTTGGTTGGTCTACTAGGTACTTACACATTAGCATTTTTTAAAATTCCAAACTTTGTCCTTAATTTGTCCTATTTAAAATACATTATTTATGGGCGCCTGGGTGGCTCAGTCATTAAGCGTCTGCCTTCGGCTCAGGTCATGATCCCAGGGTCCTGGGATCGACTCCCACATCGGGCTCCCTGCTTGGCAAGAAGTCTGCTTCTCCTTCTCCCACTCCCCCTGCTTGTGTTCCTGCTCTCGCTATTTCTCTGTCAAATAAATAAATAAAATCTTTAAAAAAAATACATTATTTATTAGGTGCCTGAGTGGCTCAGTTGGTTGAGCATCTGCCTTCAGCTCAGGTCATGAATTTGGGGTCCCGGGATCAAGTGGGCTCCCTGCTCAGCGGGGAGTCTTCTTCTCCCTCTCCCACTGCCCCTCCCCACCGCTGTCTCGCTCTCTCTCTCTCAAATAAATAAATAAAATCTTTAAAAAAAAAAATAAAAATAAAATATATTATTTATTTATTTATTTAAATGCATGCTGAATTTTCCACATCGTTGTGGCTTTAAAGCCTCTCATGCCTTTGGCAATTACTTCAGATTATAGCCAGTAGTCTCTAAAACTGGAGAATATTCATCTCCCTTTGAGCAATGAAAGAATTGTAAAATCCTTGTTAAACTTAGCAGCTTTTCTTTTTACATTACTTTATAATAGCTTAAGATCAATGTTTGAATTCAAAATACTGTGACAAGACCCAGTATAAATGAAATAAGACTCAGAGGGATTGGTGATCTAAAAGCAAATGCTAAAGACTAATAAGACTAATGCTTTTCCTGTAAGTATGGCTATCTTTACCTAAAAATGGAATTTAGACAGGAAATCAGTGAATTTACCATTAAAAGGGAGTTTTCTCTGTTGATTGAAGAGCCTAGAACCTCGTAGGCAACTGGCCATGAGGGGGTGGCACCCACTCATGCCTTAAGGTTCTAGCAATGATTATCTGAAAAAGCAGTTTGGGAATGATTTCCAATCTAGGGAACAAAATGAGAGTACTCATGGACAGCTTACACTTTCATCCACATAAAATTGTGAAATTGGGTGAAAAGAATAGAGGTTGGGTGTTTGCTGTGGACACATTCATGGAGAATCAGGCCTATCAGTGTGTTCAAATCTTCATCATTTGGCTTCCTTCGATGAGATCAGAATTTGAGAAAAGTGCTAAAAGTGTAACATCTTCAGACTATTTTAAAGTTGATTTTTTCTTAAAGACGGTACTTTATCCAAAGCCACTGTTCTGAAAACCGCTAAATTTTTACAGCTGTAGAAGAAATGGGAATACAGAAAATCAAAGACACGTTTATGTGAAAACTCACCATGTTTATGTCACATTGATTAACGTTCCCATAATGGGGAATTGGTTTTGATGTGTGACTTATCCTGTGCCCTTTGAGTTTCCGAGATAAACAAAATACTCTCATTGTTATTATTTGCACTTACTGAATGTGAGCACTGCCTCAGGCATGTTAAGTGAATAACTGATTATTGTTTCTTCAAAAGAATCATTACTTTCTCTCATTTATTAAAAAACTAGACTGTTTCTCAGATGCAGTCCTTCCACGTAAATGTGGCCCCGTCCATTGTTTTGCAATCTGGATCTGTTAGAATTGAATGAATGAAAGACATTCTCCAGGGCATCTCAGGTCCTACAGTTTGGACTCTTGCATGAAATGAAACCTATTTGGCGTTAGTTCACTGGGAGATCTCGTCTGAAATTTGTTAATTATTTTTCATGGGATTTACATTAATATCAAAAAACCGAACATCTTGGAGCTGGAAAGAACCTTAATAATCATTTAGTTTAACCTCACTTTATATCAAAGAAAGAGAGGCCCTGAGAAAGTGACTAGCAAGGTTTCCTTTTACTAATAATAGAAATTATAGAGTTGAATGGTAAAATGAGTAAAAACAAACACTGTATTCCCACTATGGCAAAGTTCATGTTTACTGGGTTTTCTTCACCAGCTTTTAAATAATTCAGAATGATTTGTTTTCCGTTTTGTGGTGGGGTTTTTTTAGTTTTTTGTTTTTTGGGGTTTTTTGTTTTGTTTTGTTTAGTGGGTAACAAAGAATACCTAGCCAGTGTGATCTTAAAAAAGAATTGAACCCTTGATAACACTGAAAAATAATGAAACTTTTAAATCCTCCACAATGTGAAAGGCTGCTCAGGGATTATAACTAATGCATTTTATTCTTATGACTTGCTGAGTCTACCGACAGCTGGCTTAGGGGTGCAGTTCTAATCAATGGCTTTATCCACTTGGCAATCTATACCGCAGAAACACAAATTAGAGAAAACCATCAATGTGTAAAAGAGACCTATAAATCAGAATGTCAGGTGGGTATAGTTCCATTTTAATAACTAGTATTTAGAGATTATTGGATAAAACATCCCATGGACACAAATTTATGGTCCTCATATCCCTTCAGGATGCCACCACATCCCTGTGGGACTATGACAACTGTAGTTAATTTCTTCTAACGACAGGGATCCTAAGTTAGGGACAAAAGAACAGATAGATTGCTGGCTTCTCTCGCCTCATTCAAGCTTTGTCTCTAGGCTTCCTTTTCTAACGCTGGTCATAGAATCTCCTTCTCTTTCAAAGTGTATGCTTCTGTATATGAGCAAAGATTTGCTTCCATGAGCTCCAACCCGAGAGGTGCTTGGCAAGTCGGCAAGTTTCTCTGTGTTGATATCTGCATGCACAACCAGGACAGTTAGTTCGTGAGAATCAATATAAATAGCCAACAAGCTAGAGCGTAAGGAAGAATGCCACTTCTCAAGAATTCTTTCCATTCCTTTTCTCTTTTGTGCTGCAAGCACATCATTCATATGTGTTTGAAGTGGGCTGTTTAATTCTCCCTTCCTTTGAAAAACTCCTACGGGTTCTCGTGAAAGGTTAGAACCTGGAGCAGTGGCAACTCAGTGACGGCTGAGTACCTTTTTGAAAAGAAATCTGTCGGGCAAACAGTCCGCCACTCTTGGGGGACTACTAGGTAGAAGGGCCAAGAAAGGATTGCAGCCCACCAAGGATTCCTCATGCCACGTTAAGGAGTCACAAACCCGAAGAAGATACATGAGTAACTAGCAGAGTCCAGCAGTGATGGAACTGAGTCCGTAAGCTTGGCCCTCCCCCCGGAAGGAGCCGTCGGTATTGGACTCTGTGAGAGAAGGCAGATCAAAACCATGAGGACGGGAGGCTGAAGGGGAAGTGTCCCTTCACCTGTAGACGGGTGAGCTATCGTCAAATGTTTCCATGAGGACCCGTGAGAGGACCGAGCAATGGCCCATGTGCAGGGAAGACTGGGCCCCTGAGAACGGTGCAGTTCTAGAAGGTCTGCTGTCTGAAATGCCAGCTGAATTTCCACCATCGGAACAGCTACTTCATAGTCCAACACAGGGCAAGCACGAGAGATTTTGAAGAAGTGTTCATATTTTCCTGCTTCTACAGACGCAGAACGGAAAGGTAAGACTGCGTGTGCTCAGACAGGAAAGGAAGGGGCTTGCCCTCAGACTGGATGCCATGGGCCGCCGTAGAATAAACGCTGTCCGGCAGACAGAACACAGAATACGGCTCAAGTAATAACAGTGACAACAGAAGCATAAAGCAGTTAGGCAAAAAGACTTATCTCACTTGTTTCCACAGCCAGCTCATTCTGGATTATGTCTGTTGCCACTGGGTTTATTTTCAGAGTTGGCGTAAGCGCTCTTGAATCAAGGTCCCAGGCGTTCCTTGGAGGAAGGAGTTCAACAGGTCTTCCTCCATCCCTCAGCTGTGCTTCTACGTGCCATGTGTATCTACCAGACGTCACTGCTGACTCACCTGACCTTGCACTTTCCTCAAACCTGTCCCCAAAGGACATGTCACGAGCAAGACCAGAGTTTCCGACTCAACAGGAACTATGCTGTCTTAATAACAAAACGCACATTTAAGAAAAAAGGCAGCATTGTTTAATTCTAAGTACAGTTACTATGTTTCCCTCTCTGTTAAGGTTGAAGAAAGGGAAGTCATCAGGGTAACCCTCTGATTACCTCCCGAGAGCTTAGACCATACAAAATGTATCTCTGCTCTGGGAACCAAGGCTTATTTTTGTAGTTTCCCACCCAAATTTCTGCTTCCTGCACTGAGGACTTGCAGTAACATTTCACTGAGTTCTTGGTTTCTGCAAACAGCTCCTGTCAAAATCTCCCAGCCCTCTCGTCAAACCCCAGAAGTAATTTTGCTTCTAGACTAATAAGCATTGGGACCTTAGCTCTCTCTATAGTGGGCCTCCCTTCCGGTGATGCTCATCCACTGAGAATGACATCCTTCCTTAAAAATGGAAACCACTGTGCCCCTTAGGCTGAGGTTCTCCTCATTTCCCAATGGAGCTACAGTCAACGAACTTCCTTCTAAGACACAGAGCTAAGCCCATTCTTTTGTAGTCCTCAAGCCTACCCAAAGGGTAGGGCTAATTTCTATTGCAGTCACCCACAGGCCTTTCTTAGAAAGCCACCTTAGCCAACAGGTGCTCATTCAGGAAATGGCTATTGAGCTGCCAGGAAGTATTCTAGTCACTGGGGTCTAACCGTGAACAAGAGACAAAAATTGCCACGCTCATGGGGAGTACATGCCAGCGAAATAACAGCAAGGTAAGACTTGAAACATGGGGAAGTCACTCTCTGGAAAAGTCTATGTCATCAACGACTCATGGGAACCCCATACTCCTTTCAATTTTTTTTTTCTTTGTCTTTTATACTGTGTTCCTGACACTTTCTATTACATTCAAAATGGGTGGTTGTGGAGAGAGCTTTGAGAAACGGAATCTGTGATTTCTTTACTCTAACGGAAATTCTATTTAACCAGATTTTCTGCTATTTACCTCTACCCAAGACTTTATCCTTTGTTTGTAACCAATTTACGGAAAGGACCATGGTACCAGTAGGTGTGTGTGAGGGGAAGACACGGGGCTGTATCTTTTCAGAGTACCACAGTTATACTATTCAGTGGTTAATAATGGGAGGGACTTTTCAGTTTCTCTAAATCAAACTTTGTTCATTTAGCTTTTGTAAGCAAAAAGTTAGAAAGTATGCAGGCAGGTACACTCCTACAGCATGTGTTTGATCATAACCCCAATGTTACTGACTTTCTGGTCAATCAAAATTGCAAAACAAGAAGGGAAATTCTTACTGTTAACACAAACTTTACAGGAAGTGTAGATCCCAGATCGACTTTTAAATGTACAAAATCTGGTTATTTTTCAACCTGAGAGTCCACTGGGCAGTCCACGATATAATCCAGACATCAAAGCTCTGGTTGAAGCCAGGGTGGGCCTGGGCTCTGAAGCCGGCCCACCTCGGCATGCCTACAGAGCCCCAAGTGTCCCTGGAGTGCAGTTTGAAGGCTGCTCATTGAGGTCAAATCCTCTTGTTCATATGCAGAAAAAACTGAGATCCAAGGAGATTATTTGCTGAAAGCCACCCAGCCATTCAGCAATCCAGCAGAGACTGAGACTCAGGCTCCTGTCACACGTTCTTTCTACTGTGCCATTTCTTCCCGTGAACATGTGAAGACCCCTTGCTGGCTGGCTCTCGTTAGTCCAGTATTCAAAGATTTATTTAAGAAATGAAAGGGATTCCTATGCTGGGTGACCAAGTCTGTCTGGATTTCTATCCACCCACGTCGTGTTGGAGCACCATTGCCCGTGCACTCTGGAGGCACGTTCTCGGGCTCTGCTCCCCGAGACACAGGGAGGGGCAGACCTTTGCCTGTATGCTAGAAGCTGGAGGAAGAGGTATGCTGGAAATCGTGCAGGGAAGGGGGCAGATTCCTGAGCTCTCTCCTCACTCTTAGCTCTAGGGGGGGGCCCAAAGTATTCTTGCCCAAGGAAGCCCTGGATAACAATAGAGCCTTGATAAGCTACTTCAGAATTCCTGCTCACGACTCTGAAAATGGCCATGGCATGCCACCTCTGCTTATTAATGCCCACAAAGGATATCCTAAACCACAGGGCAGGGGTGGGCCCCCAGTAAGGCTGGCCCTTGCTTCTCTTACTCTAAAGTTAGGTCATCAGAAAAATTAGTGTGCAGTTTCGAACAGACCCCAAGGTTGACCATACTTTTACTTCTGACTCGTAACTGGGAGGGAACCCGATCAAGGCTTTACATGGTGTCCGATACCTGAGGACTTCCCAGTCCTCTCCCTTGCCCCCATCTTTTATCTTCTAACTCGGCCTCCAGGCTCTTTTGCAGTGGGATTTTGGCAGGGACAGAGCCATCTGACCTTGAAGGAGGACCGGAGAGAGAGGCCTCTGGGGTTCACAGTAACTTACTTTAGCTCCTTTATCTGGGCGACTTCCTGGTCTGTCAGAAGCACAGCCCACTTCCCCTGCTGCCTGTCACTGATACAGCCCTTTGCCACCTGCCTTCCTAAGATTCCCAGTAAGCAGCCCTTGCCCCTTATCTAGCCTAGGGGATGACCTGATCAGTTTAGAATTAACTCCTCATGTTCTAGAAAACTGAAGCCACAAAGGTTTCGTTTCTATCATCCCCCTGAGCCAGAAATACCGACACAGCAAATTACAGCATTTCGGGACATTTGTGAACTCTGTTATTAACATGAAATCTACATTGTCCATCTTTTCAGGAAGAAAATGAGATCCCTGCCAGTGTGTTTGTGAAAGAGCCGGCTTCCAGCCCAGCGGAAGAGAAGGAGGAGGTTGCTGATGAAAACAAGTCTCTGGAGGAAACCCTGCACACGGTGGACCTCTCCTCAGATGATGAATTGCCCCACGATGAGGAGGCCCTGGAAGACAGTGTGGAGGAAAAGATGGAAGAAAGTAGGGCAGAGAAAATAAAAAGATCTAGCCTCCGGAAAGTGGATAGCCTCAAGAAAGCATTTTCTCGCCAGAACATCGAGAAAAAAATGAACAAGCTGGGCACAAAGATCGTATCTGCAGAGAGGAGAGAGAAGATTAAGAAATCCCTCACTTCCAATCACCAGAAGATATCCTCTGGGAAAAGCTCCCCCTTCAAGGTTTCTCCCCTCACCTTCGGTCGAAAGAAAGTCCGAGAGGGAGAGAGCCCCGCAGAAAATGAGACCAAGTCAGAAGACATGCCTAGCAGCGACCAGATAGTGGATGAGCCGGAAGAGAGCTCAATCGCGGAGGGTCTCTCTGAAACGTCCCAGCCCAGTGCTGCGGGGGAAGGGAAGAGCAAGGAGGGGGATGCAGGGAGGGCAGCCTCCAGGGGGAGCAACTCGGGCTTGGATAGCAACATCGACTTGACAATTAAGGAAGATGAAGAAGAGGAGTCGGTGGCCGTGGAACAGGCCCAGAAGGTTCGCTATGAGGGGGGCTACCTGCTAACGTCTGAGGATGCAGAGCGGTCCGATGAGGACGCAGTGCAGCCTGCGGTGCTCCAGGTGGACCAGACCGCCTAAGTGCACAGCCCGCTGGGCCCAGCCTGTGCTTTCGTTTAAGTGGGTAACCAGAGTGCAGACAGCCTCTACACACCTCCAGCACTGTCCAGTCTCTGCTGTGTCCTTGTCCAAGCAGCCACCATTTACGACATAGTGTGCACACACGGCCAAGATTTACTCTGAAGGCAACCTGTCAGGAGCTCTACTTCTAACTTGTTCTTAGGTTCTATTTTTGTAGAATTTCTCCAAGACTGCATGGAAGAAGAAATGGAGCAGCTGCAAAACGCTGATCAGTTTGGCTTAGTTAGAAAAACCAGAGGCTACTTAAGATCTTAGTCATGAAATGTGACTCATTTTTTGTCATTCCATAAGCTTGCTGAATAGTGTACCAGTACCATATTGAATTTCCACAGAACTCTGTGAAGCTAATGATTGTATTTCAAGTGTGTGATATATAATATACATATGTATTTAAGCTAAAGACATAACTACTTTATATTTTAAGGAAAAAAAAACCCACTTTTAAAAAAAGGTGAAAGAGAAGGTCCAGTTTGTTATTCACTTAGTAGAAACCAGTGTCTTAGTGAAAATGAAGGAAAAAAATCTAAAGACTATAATAGTCAGCTAATAAAGTAAGATGTAGAAAAGCCAGGACTATCAGAGAAAGAAAACTAAGAAGGAGAAGTTGGAAAATAAGAGAAACAGGACAGGAAGAATGCCAAAGAGAATGAAGAGAAGGGAAAAACTACATGCTTAGAAATAAAATATTTGCAGTATTAACTCAAGTATTCCATTCCTTAAATCACAATTCTAAAGAGTTTCATATATCCTGGAATAATATGTCCTATCTTCACAATATTTTTATTTTCTAATATTTTCAAATAATATAAAAACATAGTTTACTGTGTTAAGGCTGGATTCTTCTTAATAAATAAAAGACATTACAAATATTTCTCCAAGGAGGTTTAAAAGGATGTTGTCTCTTTAACAATGGAATGAACGTAAATCTTCAAAATTCATATGTACTGTCTTTTGTAGGAAGTTGGGTCCTACTATTCTCTCATGTTTTCCAAATTTGAAATAACTTTACGCTCCAGATGATGTAATGTAGGTCTAGAAAGATGTTAAAATCAACAGGTTTGAGAAGGGAAGGATTGTGTTTTTCCTTTTTGTGCATACTGCTAATTTCATCCCAGGTCATATTTTATTTATATATTAATTTCACAGAATATTGGTATGATTCTTCTGAAAGCATGCTAGTGTATATGTGCACATTTATTTAGACAGGATAATTTTTACTACTGCCTAACATTATACTAAAATATTGCTTTATCTATTTTTAATTACAGAACGCTAATGTTTTAAGAAAACTTTGAAATTTTAGTTTAGAGACAGTTGTACTAGGGAGCAAACTCCCTGCCTTTCATATGTACCACTCACCATAAGTAACCTTTACAAATATAAGTAATCCAAGACTGTATTAACAAACGATGCTTTGTGTTATAGAAGGAAAAATCGGATTAACAAACGTATTGATGGCCTAATCTATACAGCTATGTCCTTATTTTGCAATAATGTACCCCAAATATTAGATTGTTGAACTAACAATGGCTGTGTTAAAGACTAAATAAACCAAAAAATAAAAAGTATATAACAATGTCAGTTTTTTGGCAGAACAATTTTAGAACAAGCAAAAAGAATTTATTTTTAAACTCTTCCCCCAAACGGAGCTGTAATGTTGATTGTTTCAGTCTTGATTTCCCCTATTAACTCTGCTTTCTTTTTCCCGTGATCTCGTTTAGAAATCCAAGGCTCATTCTTCAAGTTTAACTTTCTTGACATCACCTTGCCAGCTCTGGAGAGCATCTGAATTTATTGCAGCAGCTTGATAAATGTGATGGTTCCATCTGCATTTTTATTGTTTTATACCAGACCTTATAAAACCTTAAACAGCCCTGCAAACATGAATGTATTGAACTGTATGTTCAGTTTATTCACACAGAGAAACCTTTGTCTTCAGCGACACCGTACACTTGGTAGAAGACTTAATTTCACTGTGGGCCCTAAGCTTGCCTATTTAACCTTTATGAAGTTGCTGTCACTTCTTGCAGCCAAAGAGTTGGGGGATCCAGAGCTAATGGAATTTTTACACTTCTTTCCAAAAATGCTTATGCCATTTGTTCCTACAAACTATTTGCATGCCGGTGAAAATTCACACTTAAATCTTTTTAGATTTTACCGACAAACATTTATTCTGTGTTCCACATTCGAAGCATTAAAATTCTAAGCAATAAAACAGCGAATCAGGCCAGATAATTGTTGGAAAACACATCCTGTAGGGATTAGAGAGAGCAGCAGTTGTGGAAATGGAAGCTCTTTATTCTGTATTATTGTTGAATTATTTGCATACTGGTGAGGCTGAGAAGTCCCCAAATTAGATATGTCTTCTTTCTACCCACCCAATAACCTGTTCCTAACTTTATGTGCCTGGAACTCAAGAACTGGATTAGTTTTCCCCCAAAGATTGGTTATACATTAATAAGCACTGAGATCCATATCTCAGAAATATAATCAGGGGCAAGACATGTCTATTACATGGATCACAAATCTCACAGAAATACAGCAAAGATGTCACTTTACTGCAAGATTTTATTTTTAAAATATACAGGCATATATATTTCAACAGGAATATTTTCCTCTTTCCACTTAGGAATCTAGTATATGGCTGAATTTCTTTTTATGCATGAAAATAAAAGCTCCACGCTAAGGCCACTTCAGCACAAAATAAAGATTTTTCACATTTATCATATGATGAAAGCCCAAAATGTTCCAGTTTTTAGCACTGCACGCGTTTCAGTCCACCGTCAAGAGACTAGAGGCTCTTTCCACGGAGCCAAGCTGCTAGTGTAAGTAAAGGTTATAATGAAAGACATTTCCGACATTAAGACACAAATGCCCAAGCCCAGTTAATTCTTGCTTGAAAGTTTGTTTACTGCCCTACAGCCCAGGTCTAAATGATTTTGTATCGGAGATTGGGAGTCTGAGGGATTGAGGTACAGGCAGCAATCATTATTAACAGTTCCATAGCAACCACAAGTCTTTTCCTAAAAACCAAGACTCTGACACTGCAAAACAAGTTTCAGATGAAATTGGCATTGCGACCTTTGTATTCTGCTCGATCTGGGTGTCGAGATAAAGACTTCTGCAGCCAGGAACTCATTCCTAAAGGGAACAGGCAGTAACTCACATTATTACATTATTACATCCTTAAGATCCAGCCTTCTCATTTTTTGTTTTAACCAATGCATTCCCCTGCGGTATTTGAAACTCTATAAATTATTTCCAACTCTTTACACAAACTGCCCCAATTAAGAAGCCACATCTTTAGCAAAATGACTTGATATTCATACATGTGAAGACTTTCCACTGTAAGATCAGTATAAGATCAGTTCATTAAATATGTGTGGGGCAGTGCAACCATTTGCTAAAACTCTTAGTGTCCAAAGCAGTAAGGCACATGCACGGGTTAGAGGGAACCAACGTTTCTGATGGCTCGCTTGACACCAAGCTGTGTGCTCTGGTGGGAACAGTACCGTGTACCTACCACATGCTGAGCACAAGTATTCTCTCATTTAAATTTTTTTTAAGATTTTATTTATTTATTTGAGAGAGACGGCGATAAGAGTATGAGCAGGGGTGAGGGGCGGAGGGAGAAGCAGACTCCCTGCTGAGCAGGGGGCCCCACTCAGGGGCTGGGATCATGACCTGAGCCGAAAGCAGACACTTAACCTACTGAGCCACCCAGGCACCCCAGTATTCTCTCATTTAATCATACAAATCCTATTAGGAAAGTACTGGTTTTGCACCTGAGACTTTTTTTTTTTTTAAGATTTTATTTATTTGACAGAGAGAGAGCGAGAGAGGGAACACAAGCAGGGGGAGTGGGAGAGGGAGAAGCAGGCTCCCCGCCTGCTGAGCCACCCGGGCGCCCCTTTCACCTGAGACTTTTGAAGTTAATTCACTACAACTAGTGAGACGGAGGGGAGGGGGATCTCCAGAGTTCTTAATGGCTCTAAGTTCTCACTCATGTTAGCATTATTTTTCCTTTGAAGTTCACCGAGTTAAAAGACTTGTGCAAGTATACATAACTATTGAATGTCAAAGTCAGTGCTCAAGCCCAGTCTGAGATCCATGCTATTGCCAAGACAGACTCCTAATGGTGTCATCCAACTGTGCCTAATTATGAATCACTTTATAAGCTCTCAGATAGTATTGTATCAACTTCGTTTATCGTCCCTTATGTGGCATCAGATACAGCTGCACTTTATAAATGATTTTGGTGCTTGTCATACCAATGCTAAGAAAAAAACAGCTCACAGTTCCTGGGGAGCCACAGAGAGACTATTATTCAGGTCTGCTGAGGCCACCCAGGCTCTCCTAAGCTCCTTGGCATCACCCCTTGTCAGTAGCTGCGGGGCTCACTTTGGGCATGGTTTAATAAGGGCAAGCTGTCAACAAGGTACCGGAATCAGCTAGCTCCAAGATGGCACAAGTCTGCCTCAAACTCTTCAAGTAAAAGCAGTCATATCCCTGTGTCATACTAGAGAAACTGCTATTTCCTGCCTGGACACACCCTCCCATAGGCTGAGGAAACAGGCAAACATCAGATCAGCATGGGGGGTGCGGGGGTGTGGGGGAGGGTTAGCAAATTGGATGAATCTTGAGGACATAGAGACCTAGCCTCTGAGTATAATTCCTACGAAATCAACTTCTCAAGGAAAACAGGAACCAGGTCAAACAAATGCCGACGTCTCCATCTCTGTGGGCAAGCCATCAAAGAAAACCCTCTAGGCCAACCCTCACTCATCAAGATGTCTGCTGCAGGCAGCTATGTCTTCCAAAGGCTTCGGCCGTGGTCATGAACTCACGGGCCCACAGGGCTCACACATGAGTAAAATTGTTCAGGTGGTGGCAGCAGTTGAGGCAACGTTGCTACCTGTGGGCATGATGGGGCACCCTTACAATTCATCTGCCCGGAGGCAGTGCCTTTTTTCTAATTCCCAAAAAGGGAGGGTACCTTCTAGGTGCCACCCTGGACTGTGGTAAACTGACAGCCATTACCCAACCCCCACTGGCATCACTTCAACTTCTTTCGAGAGAGGTCAAGATTCAGATCTCTTTTTTCATGAAAATCTCCTGGTTTTTAATTTTTTGGCAACAAACTCAAATCATTTTAAAATATTGCATAAACCAATCAACCGTCTGCTGTCTGGATGTAGCCTAGGCCTAGACCATCAATTTCTGACTCCGGGTCCACAGGGATGAAAGCTCTGGGGTCCTCCTTCCCCACCCTGAGGCACAGACAGGAGAATAGAAAGCTAGTAACAGGATTGGATTTGCCTTGAGAAAAAGCACAAGAACCTTCCTAGGGAAATACAAAATACAAAAATACCCTTGCCAGAACTTGTAAGACATTTTTTCTTGCTGCTTACTGAATTTGCTGTTAATGCTGCATAGTTAAGGCGCCGAGAAGACAAGTCGCCAATCACATTGGAAGATGG